ATGCGAGAGAAATAGTTTAAACAGAAGGTTTTTTTTTGACGGGGGGGGAGGGAGAGAGAGAGAAAGAGAGTCCGTGCAATTTGCTGCGAGAAATATCTGCAGCGGTGCCTATGCATGCGTGCATTACCATAACGTCAGGTGCATTCGACGATGTACGATGCCGATGCCGATGCCCGATGTTCGCTATCGGGCAAATCGTTGATGTGTGTCGACCGACGTGTATGTATAATACCTGTTCGCGCGATATATAAATAGACTGACGCGACGCGTAGTGGTGACGCAATGTGAAATTTGCTAATCTAACTCCGCCGTCAAACTTCTCATTCGATTTCATATTCATCCAGTAGCATCGCGTATCTAAGCAGTAGTAAAGTAGGTACGTTAAAGCAATTAGTTTCTGCGCTAATTTTTATGTCTCAAAACATTTCTATACTCTTATAAATATTGGTGTGGATGCAATACTATACGATTGTTTATAATTTCACTGTGTTGGTGTTAATTAATATTAACACTGTCATGGTGTAAATTTAAAACTCACCTGTTGTCACCTTTTCAATAAAGATCAAGGAGACGCTAAGAATATACGTGTTTCTAGAATTGAATCTAAATGATACGTTACGTATCTTTTATTATATATATTCCAACTCCCAAGCAGTAGTATACATATATTAATTCTTTTTCAAAGATATAATATTTGTATTGAAGGTCCTCTTATATTCTAACCAAAGTAGTGGCAGTTTTAATTTTCTGCTAAAAGTTATCACTTCTCGAAAAAACTATTGTATCGCAATTAAAGATTCGAATCTATATATATATATATAAATGACACAGTCTTAACTAACCAAGTGATATTTTATTAGATTAACAAGTAAAATCTAACATAAGTGGTATTGTTTTTGTTACTTCAGTCTAATGATATGTATCATTTGTATAAAAGATTTGATGTCAACAACTGGTGCCAAGTTAAATCCTATATCAAATTAAATAAAAAATATAATCCAAGTACTATCTTAAACTTTTTTTAATTCTTTTTATATAAAATTTTTATCGCAATTCATTCAAAGACATTTTCTCTTCTAACCAAAGTAGTAGTTATTTAATTCTCCTTCAAAACGTGATTCAAAACAAAATTGCGTTATCTTGTCCATTCAAGTGTTATCACAAAAAATTAAAGAAGGAAGAATAT